TGTCGCTCTCTTCCGGTCCAGAGGTCTCCCTGCTGTCGTCGTTAGGGGCGACGGGGCCGTCTCGGCACGTGACCGGGGTTCCGACGCGGCGCCCGCGGCCCGACTGAAAGTTGTCAGAAGTTTGCTCCAATCTGAGCGGCGTGTGGCGCCGGCGGCCGGGGCTCTGCCCAGGGTCAGGACATGTGCTCGCCCACCTGCCATCCGCGTGTCGTGCGGCTCCTTTTCTCCCGCGCATACAAATCGCTCTCCGTTGGGGAAGATTATTTCCCAGTGGTTAATTTATTCTTCTCCGAGGATTTATGTCCCACTTTGAAGCTGTTTTCTATGTTGCCTTTACTATATGGGCTCGTGGTGCTTGTTATACTCAGCTCTGTACTAGCCTGAGTCCTCGATCCCCAAACGGCGACAACTGTCAGCCAGTGCCTCGCCTACCGTATCAATTCCGCATGCTGGCCCATCTTCCAGCCTCTGGTGTTGATAATGTGCTGCAATATTTCAAAATATTAATCGTGCCGAAAGCATTCCTTTTGACAATTTTTTGATCAAATGGCCTCCAGAGATGGCTTAGGATCAGAGACAGCTTTTTATGAAACCCTGACTTAACCAAATCAACATAATTATGTTGACTCTGCAAGTAGCTTATAGCGCGCATGGGACCGCTTTCTAACGTAGATGGAGTTCCGCGATAAATTTAGATCGTGCATGTGCCTCAAAGACTACCTTGAGATAAACACCTTTACCCCTGGCGGGAGAGCGTGTCGCGGGTGGCGGCGCCCCCCCCCCCCCCCGCGTCACGCCCAGGTCACGGGCCGTCCGGCGCCGGCGGCCGCCGTCTCATGGAGCCGCTCACAGCTGGGGAGGCCGTCCCCGCCGCATTATGCGCCCGGTATTCCAGCTGGCCGGCCGCCGCCGCCCCTGAATGGGCGCGCACAAAAATACAGACCGCGCCGCGCCGTACAGAATGGCAATGGAGAAAATATGAGGTGCTAGTGAGGTGGCGGGCCCAGGCGACCGTGAATGGAGCGGCGGCGCGCCGCAGCCGGCCGAATAAATTGACAACAAATGTGCCACTCCATGACAACGTCGGTGATCTTTGCCCCCCATTGTCGCGCCCCATAATGACTTACAGAGCCGCTCGCATTGGGCGGCGACAGCGGCGCGACGGAAAATAGCCGACCCGACCGCGCCGTAGTTAATTTTTTCCGAGCCCTCCAAAGGGTGAACGGTACAAGAGCGTGAGTTATTGAACGGAGAGAAAGGATTGGCATGCTCTTCGGCTCTTGTACCGAAATTAAAAGCCGGCGCGCTCCAAGCACGTGCCATCTATGGCCGAGTTTTGTACGGAGTGCTTGTTTCGGGTGATCGGGTGCCGTTCCCACTCCGCACGCTGCTGCAGAGAGCACACCTACTTCCAATGAGGACGACGGACTGTTGATAGAAATGGCTGGACAAGCTTCTTCATTGCATGACGTTATAAACGGGAACAACCGTGACGCTATCGAACACAGGTCAGGACAAGTTGAGACCCATCTTCACTAAAATTTTCGTTTTAGAATCAATTCGGTCTCTGAAAAAGTACGTTCTGCGAAGAAAGGCAGGTTAATGATCGTAGAGCGGGCCTTTTTAATAAAAAGATGTAGGCGGAAATATGCGTGTGCAATTTTCTGTGACGCATGTTTTCGTAGTTGCAACACTAATATGTAGAAGCGTTTGTAGCAAAAAGAATCAAATTTCATGTCACTTGTTATCATTATAGTATTGCTTTGACACATTTGTAATGCATATTCGAGACAAAACTGCAGAAGATATTTTGGTGCAGTTGTATGCAAGCAAGCTACTAAACTGTTACACAAATGTTTGTGACATGGACAAACTTGCATGCATAATGTTGCGTGAGTGGTGAGAGAACAGTTCAGGATAAGGGAGTCTCACCTTTGATATGCTCACACACGGTCCGTCAGGATGTGAACACACATTGCACACGTATGTTCGTTCTCACGATCATACAATGTTTAAACAAATCGGCAACGAGCAATGAGCAACCGTGCGATAACCTCTCGTGCGCACTGCGTAATCCAGACACCAAATCATCGTCCGCACGCTCATCATTTTCATATTCCCCCCCCCCCCCCACTCTTAACCTAATGTTCTCTTCTCGTTCCGTGCGTTGTATTACTACTGTTCTTTCACGTTATATACCCCTCTTTATCCGTAATGTCAGTTACGTTTTGACTGCTGGCTGACCAGCAGGCTCCGCGCGCAGTGTTCATACTATCGTTGCTGTCCAGAAGCAGATGCATTCATGAACACCTGCCATATGGTTAGGGACGTCACTTTGTGTGCTTTCCGGTTGCTCCATGTTTGCTTTCATCTTTTGAACGACAAGAGACTAGACAGATACTGATTCTAAGGCAAATATTTTCAACCCTAACATATAGAGAACACCGGCAATAATATCACGTTTGCGCTGCGCCTCCCACCTGGAGTCTATGCAAGGTTTGCAATAGGGGGAGCACATCACCAAGGGTTTTACGGAAAAAAGTCTAGCGCACCGTAGGTCCGCTAGATTGGGTGAAATTGTATTGACTGGTTGCATTGGGTGAAATTTGCAACAGCAGAGTTGCATCCGCTAGATTGGTTGCATTGGGTGAAACAAGGTGCTAAGCTCTACACCTACTTGTCTTTACGTGCAGGCAGCGAACCATTAAGAGTCAGCATCTATTCACGCACTCAACAGGGCCTGCAATAAATTGCATAAGGTGTGGAGGGGGGGGGGGGGGAGGCACGTCCCCCGGAGGCCACCTACGCACCATACTGAAACCAGGTGGTACTCGCCTCGCAATGGGCCAGTACTGAGGTCAAAACTTGGGTGAAATGTCAGAGCGCAAATAGTAAACTGCTGGCAAAGAATGCATCGGACAGTAACCTACTACTTCGTACATATATGGCTCAAGGACGATATGTAGGTAAGCTGGCCTCTTCATGTCACTTTTCACATTAAACAGAATAAGGAAGAAGTATTGGGGATTATTTGCGCGCAACTGTCAGTTTGTTAAATCTCCGGGACGCAGGCTAAGGTTATGCAATCAATGAAAATGTGATGATTCCATCCCGTTACCCGTATCTTCTCCTGCATTTACAACTTTCTTGCTTTATGCTAACGATGAAATTCATGTACTTTGCACATGACGTAGCTTTCATTTAAAGGCGTATTACTGGCAGTTCAGCGGGGACAACATTATCTCTCACTGCTAGCAATATGGATTTAGGGATCTGAGCAGGTTGGAGCTCTGCTCCCGCTAAACCGTTGTTTTTTGGCAAATTCTGCACTGCGATCTGTGGCACCTGTGAGTCGGAGTTAGCTTATAAGCGTGCTCGAGGTTAGAACTGAGTCATTTCCGGACTGGAAGTCAGGGAAACACTCTTTGCAAAAAGCAGCAGAGCAACGTTCAGAGGCAACATCTCGTCCTACCCTTCCCTAATGCATCATTTAATCCCTCAGGAGACTTGCCCATTAAACACAGTCCTGTGTTTTGCTTGATTTAAGACTCAAATGTGTTTTAAATGTCACGGACAACAAATTAACCCATCCATCATCATAAATCATCATTACGCTAAAAACTCATAATAAAGGTTTACATGTTCTTCAATGTCTGTAAATGTCAGGATTACAGCAAGCAGCCTCCCCCCAAAAAATTATCGACCTCAGCCTACCGACTGGGAGCACTCCAATGCTTCGCCCCGAAAAAAGGGGTCCAATGCTTCGTGAAGATAACTGCCCGCAACATCGCTATGTCACTTACAGATAGACACGTAAAGCTTATTAACTTATCAGCTGATATAGCTTATTCGTCTTTGAAGATGCAGATTCCTGGTCGTCCCATGGTATATGGAAAAGATCTCGGACGATCCGTCATCTAGCGACACTGGCTAGGGGATGCACTGCTTGTCCCGACTAGCACGGGAAGGTTAGCTGACAAATAACCAGAAAGGGTCGACCAAGTCCGGGGTGGCCGTGTTATAGCAATGCACGGCACCAAACACTCTCCACGAGCCTGTAAGCAAAAACACTGGAGGCAAAATTATTCGATGAAATGGATTGAACTGCGTTGAATGATGGATTTCAAATACGCACACCAAATCGTGCGTATCAGCTCGCTCTGAATTCAAACCTTTCAATTCAAGCCATTCGGAATGCAGTTATAGGAGTAGTTCATAAGAAAGCAGAGCAGAGCAAGCAGGATATAGTTTGCAGGTATACCGAGTAATATCTGGTAGCGAGCGGATGCATGCTCCGCAAGCAAGAAGACGAAGCTTTGTGTCCTCCATTTTTGTCACGGCTCCCCAGTATGCCTCCTTTCCCTGTTATGACAGAGGTGTCCCGGCGAGAGGTTTAGGTAATCCCTGGCAGGGGATCTGGACGCCTTGCCACGATGCCCGTTGATTTCACGATAATATGCACTTAATGTCAAGAACACCGCGATAGTCGTTGAATTGATGTGGCATAACTTAAGTTTATTCACTAATATGCAAATGGTGCAATTTGTCTGCATGCTTTGGTGGGCGAACCACAGTAATCTCGCAATGACAGCGAGACGTGTACAACGCTGCGTGGACCGGCCTGAACAAACAAATCCGAAGTCCCCGCTTGACACAACTGCGTGCAAAACATCCCCACAAAGCGAGTCTCTATTCATCCAGCGGCGCGGACCGTTGCTATCTCGTATTTGTTATTCCGACTCCATTGATATACACCATTCGTCATTGGTCGGCCATCCATCGTTCCGCGTGTGTTACCTGTCATTCCAACACTTCATTGCCATGGGAACCACTATTCACGCCCCTCGCCCCGCCCACCGGGCGACGGCAGCCAATCAGCGTTCGGCGCTTGGGCGGCCGCGGCCCGTGCTCGGCCGACCGGTGCGCCAGCATTACGAAGTGGTGGCGTCCGGGAAAGGTGGCGCGCTGCGCGAATGCGCCGTGAACGGAACTGTGAAGGCATGAAAAATCCCTTCCATCTAACGCCCAGCGAAGCCGGCAAAAAGATGGGCGTTGAAAAGATGATCGACTTCAAGGATGTGAAGGTAAGAACGAGACGGATACTTCCCCCAATAATGCTGTTCCCTGTGTTGACTCCTACTTGACGTCATCTCTGCAATGCGGCATTGATGGGATTTGCATCAGTCTCAGCGCCTGATGGCATGCGAATCCAGCAGTCTTCTCTGAGAGCTTCTAGCTCTGGCGCTTAAGGAACGAGTCCGCCCGTTATTGCGGCCACTGCAGCATCAGTCGTGACGTGGTCTGTAAGACATCAATTGCAGGTTATTTAAACCAACAGCAAATGTTTTCGCCTTCATGAGAGAGCTCAAACGGGTCTCACTGACACAGGTATGCAAATAATTTTGCGTTTCTTCCCTCCGTGAAAAATGCTCGACTTTGTGTGCGACACATCTGAAAAAAATACGACGATGCATAACCGGGACTGCTGTAAACGGGACTGGCACAACCAGCGCAGACCTGTTCGGTCAGCTCTCCTTGGACAGAATACCCGACATCAATCTACACGCTGGACCAGAAATGAGGCAGGACGCGTTTGGGTGGCAACTGCTCAGTATGCGGCTGACACTGCTGGGAATCGGTGCGGCGTTAGGCCTGGTGCTCGGCGTAATATAAGGGAGCAATACCGCTTCTGATCTTTTGGGCGTCCATTTGAAGGAACTGCTCCGCAAATGCTTACCGTGATTGTGCGGATAAAGTTCCTGCACTGATCGCACGAAACGCGCTTTCGTAGTGACCAGCATGTCGGTCGTTCCCAGTATGATGTCCGCCTTCTTTCGGCAGCGATATGAGGGAAGATTCCGCATAGTATTTCCGCGCCATTTGTTCCATTCCCAGCTTTCGAGATCACGAATCCAGTCGATGCGTCCAGTGGTTTTGGCTGTGGCTTCCATACTTTTAAGCGTCGCTCTTTCGGTAACGCTTATGGTCGCGACCGCTCGGGGCGCGTCGGCAGTTACGCTGCTCTGGCGGCTGGTCAGTGTCCTCGCGCGTGGTACATCACTCCAGTTCACCGATCCCTGCGAAAGTTAGGAAGGTGGCAGACGCGCATGAGATATAGGAAGGCCACTTTGGCACAGGAGCTCTCCTTCAGGTAGTGTTTTCTTTTTTGGATTTCGTTATCTGGGTCACTGCGTACGGATAAGCATCGCTAAAATCGGCCCGACGCATTTGAATGCAGAGGAAACGTTACAGTGTGGTAGTTTGTAGGCATGATGTACGCGTAGTCTTTCATGAGAAATACAAATTTAAGATTTTGACATTTGTGGGCTTTTCACAAGCGCTAGATTGCCGACAAGTGTGCTGTTTGGAAACCAAATATATTTAGGCTTAACAACAATGGCCTAAGCACATCGGATAGCACGTTAAAACGCCCGTCATTTTCTGACGTCGGCTGTGGCAAATAAATCAAGCACTGCACCGCCCATTCGTGAACATATCACGCAAGAGGCCCACATATAGCGGTGGATTTCAGTGCTCCGTTGATGAGCCGCCGGCATAGGCTGTGCTACTGCTCCCTGGCAAAAAGGCGCGTGTGGTCTCTGTCAGCCACTGCATTTGACACAGATTACATACAATTCATCTGCTTCTGAGACTGTCAGCATATAGTCGCGTCAGAAACAGCCAACACTTGCCAACCGTGGCGTGTTGGGTAGATCAGTGAGAGGAGCAATGAGAGCAGCGGAGAAGGATATGTCCCTCCCGTGATATTCAGGTCCGGATTGCACCCCGCCAGCCTGCGCTCCCTGGTTGACCCGGGTATCAAAGTTTGCTCTTCATGACCCCAGAGGCCGTCTTGGGAGCCCCCGACCCTCTTGGAACGCTGTCGATCGTCGCGGCGATTTCTGGAACCTCGTGAACTCTGGAATACATCCCGTGTGCTTTGTTCTTATTCTACGTCACGAGCAACATCATTTCTAAGTGTATTATCTAGGCGATAACGCCACTGACTAGAAATCAATTAGCGCCCTTATGACACCCACTTATACCACTTCACTCGTAGTCAATACACTTTGTTAAGACAAGAAGGCATTAATCGCGAACGGCCATTACCCTCATCAAGCATTCCAATGTCGTCCATACCGCCGACTACTGTTTTACGTTGCACCGTTCGTTTCACTCGTTGACTAGAGCTGAAAGATCCAAGCAGCAAAATAAAGTTCCTAGAAATTGAAAGTATGCGTTGTGAGGGAATCTTGATTGTTCGGCAACATCCCCAATGTTCATACAATGTGTGTGGCTCCACATGGCATATGGAATAACGGCTCCATTGTAAGACATTGTGTGAAATTAAACCACTGTGCTTTCATTGTACCGCAAAGCGTGGCTCAGTTCTACTGGTACTTCGGTTTAGCTTAAGCTGGTGACGACTTGCACTGGTGTTTAAAGGTTTCGAAGCAGGAGATGCATTTCATTCCGTCGTGAAGAAAAAAGCTTCCATCATTGGCCTGGGGGATTTGTGGATCGATGTTGCCTCTTCTATCACTCCGTTTACGAGCAAGCAGTTAATTCCCCCGATTCCCGCCGACACGGCTTAAAGCAATGATAGCACGTCCTGATGCGGGCTCTACTGCTGCTCTGAAATCGTAACTGCATACACTGTTTTACGGGAGGTAAACCCATCACTAAAGAGCCGTCATTGACGCTGTCCATGACACGCCGTCGTTCAGCGCGTTAATTGTGATGGCTTGCATGCCCTCTACTCTCATTTCCCTATCCGAGTTGCATGCTTTAGGAAATGCTCGGAGCCTTTCCATATCTTGGGTGTTGTTCCAGCTGACACCCGGGATGGCCTGTAGAGTTACGTACCTAAGTGCCTGCACGTTGGCTTTTTTACAATTGTTAATTGCCCTAGCACAAGCACATTCCAGTTAGCTCCGCGGTGTTTTCATGCCGCGGATGTGATCTTCACTTAAGTACAAGTACTCGAGTCTCAAAAGGCGGCTCGAGGATCCTTTTGCTGTCACTGAATAGGCCAATTCAGCTTTGCCGACCTTGGCGGCAAAAGTTGTCCCCCTTCGCCTCCCATGGTCCGACCATTCAGTAAACAGATCACTGGTGTTTTGGGACAGCAGTCTTTGATTGGGTAGAGGTGCTCTCCCCATGCCTGGCTACATGTTGACCCTACAACACATTGGTGATATGCTCCTCGCGCCGCCCACTTCTCTCTGATTGCTTCTCTGCACGTACCGATGCCGCTGAGCTGCACCGATGGTGTGACTGCACCGTGAAGCCCCACCGACTATGTGGCTCCCGCCTCACAGCTGGCGTCCGCGGTTCGGTGTCGTGGTCTCGGGCGGCCGGCCGCTCTGTCCGGCACTCCTCAGAGGGTCACACGCCGCGCCGGCCGGTCCCGAAGGGGCGCCGGTGTCAAGCCTTGGCCGCCGGGACCCGGCACACTTCAGAGGGTCACACGCCGCGCTGGCCGGTCCCGAGGGCGCGCCGGCGTCGAGCCTCGGCCGCCGGGACCCGGCACGCTTTAGAGGGTCACACGCCGCTCTGGCCGGTCCCGAGGGCGCGCCGGTGTCAAGCCTTGGCCGCCGGGACCCGGCACACTTCAGAGGGTCACCGCCGCGCTGGCCGGTCCCGAGGGCGCGCCGGTGTCAAGCCTCGGCCGCCGGGACCCGGCACGCCTCAGAGGGTCACACGCCGCGCCGGCGTCGAGCCTCGGCCGCCGGAATCCGGCGCGCTTCAGAGGGTCACACGCCGCGCTGGTCGGTCCCGAGGGCGCGCCGGTGCCAAGCCTTAGCTGCCGGGACCCAGCACGCCTCAAAGGGTCACACGCCGCGCTGGCCGGTCCCGAGGGCGCGCCGGTGTCAAGCCTTAGCCGCCGGGACCCGGCACGCCTCAGAGGGTCACGCGCCACGCTGGCCGGTCCCGAGGGGGCGCCGGCGTCGAGCCTTGGCCGCCGGGGCCCGGCACACTTCAGAGGGTCACACGCCGCGCTGGCGGTCCCGAGGGCGCGCCGGTGTCAAGCCTTAGCCGCCGGGACCCGGCGCGCTTCAGAGGGTCACGCGCCGCGCCGGCCGGACCCGAGGGCACGCCGCTGAGACAGTTAGCGGCGCAGCCGGGCCAGCCAACCAGCGCTCTACTCCTGCAGGCAGCGGGGCAGACGAAACTCCTGACTGACAAAATAGACTGGCTAGCGCTGGAGTCTGTCTGTCAAAAGCATACGAGTTTAACGTGAAGCTCAGAATAGATACGCGTGATGTTCATGGCCCTTATCACAACCTGCACTAAAGCCAAGACTTCCTTCCAGGCATGCATCCTTCTATGCATACGCTCAGCGCATGCATAGAAGGATGTTGCACAGAATTATAATTTGAACAGCACATGCATAGAATTATGCATGCGCTGAGCGCATGCATAATTTGCATGCGCAAATTTGAAATGGCGTAAGAAGCATGCACATCGTGTTGGTCTACTTCCTCCTCACATTTTTACTCGCGAGCCGTGCGCACATTTCATTCATCACCTGATACCGAACAAATTGAGAGAACGAACGCAATGCGTCTGACGTTGCCAGCCATTTTAGGAATGGTTCATTTTTACATCATGTTTTGAACCGAGAAAGCCAACTTGGACGGACAGATAGAGACAGATGGAAAACTTAGCTTCGGTTCAAACTTAATTACGAACATTAGACCGATGTGGAAAACAAACTCACCTACACTGACGCTGAAAAAAATATTTTGAACGTATCCGTAAGCAGTTACGCCGTCATCCTCTGTGGGGACACGAGTTCCCTTCACCTGCAGTCATCTTCAAGACGCTGCCGGCGCTCTGTCAGCAGCGGCTGCGGACTGCATGCTGAGCAGCGTCCTCGTCAGCTAGCTCACGTTGGTCCCCATTACTGCTCCGTGATCCGGTGCCGTCTGATTGGCGCTGGGCTTCATTTTCTCGCTGGAAAGCTGTACGTTGCCCTTATAAGTCAGCGGACCTTATATAGGGTTATAATTCAAACAGTATTAACCCTTAAGTCAAGTCGCATTCATCCCGCATTCCGCCAGCGCATGCGAACCCTGCG